TAAAATTATCATGATCAATAAAATTAGGATATGAAAAGGATGAGAAAGTGACTTCTAGGCTGGAAATTGGAAAGTGTTGTCGGTATAGTAAGATAAAGTTAAGGAATTAATTGTACATGTAAATAAGTTACGACAATAAAATACGATTTTTTTTTTTATTATTTATTTATTTTTTTTTTTTGTTCAAGATTTTTTAGAGATATTCAAATAAGCCAAGTATTCGCATAAACTCGTTTGGATATTTATGTCGAATCGATATTTACGCTCGAAGAACCAACCGATACTATTCTTATTATTGATAATAAGTTTATGCATATTTAGTGGACACCTACGATTAAATTGACTTATATTTTTCATTATTTATAATTAATTGTTACGGTTGAATAGATTAATTATAAGCAAATGACATTTTCATTTTAACACAATTTGCATTATCTTGAATTTTCATAAAGAAATTCTTTATATCTTTGCGTAAAAGCTTACATGAGACGCTAGAGAATGAGAAGATAATATCTTTTTATGTGGAATTCTGAAATTAATTTTTCTCTATAAAGTCACCGAAGAATTTAATTAGAAAATTCACGCATAATCGTAAAATGAAACGGCGCTTAAAAGGACGAGTATAAAATGCTTTATCAAATTGAAAAATATGCAACAGTCGGGTCGGATGAGTTTTTCGTCACCGTTGGGCAAAATAATGTTCGTCGTACGTCCTCAACAGTTGAGTCGACATTTTCACACCTTTGCCTCAACATATCCCCGCGCAATCCAAATAAATACCTAACCAATTTTATGATCACAAACGACCGTTAACATCTAACAATTTCCGATTAAAAAGTATTTTTTTCAACAAATACTGTTTAACCCACCCACCACCATAAGCCCATTAAATACATTTTATACACCCAATCAGTGCACGTTTTCACTCACTTTTCCCCATTCCTGCAACGAGACAACAACACCTAATAAAAGCTAGACCCCCTATCATAGAATAAGCTCGCAACTAATAAAGTATTTACGAACCTTAATAGTTTCCTGTTCTCCAAATAAAAAAAAATAAAAAAAATAAATAAATAAATAAAAAAAAATACAATAACAAAACAGGGTGGCCAGCCGTATCACGGATAAACAACCGGCTAACTTTCATCTCACTGGCAATATGCATGTAAATCGAAAGTATACACTTATAATAAATAGAAGATGTAGATAAAGTAAGTGGTGGCATGGCCGGTGATGGTGCCGAGTGGAAAGCGAGCGTTATTAATATATATAAGAGCGCTCCACGTTCCGTCCACGATAGCCGTGCGACTTTATGGTGGCCGGAACACAGCGTCGGCCCAAGCCACGGAAATCGAAAAGCTAATCCGCCAAGCTCGGCAATGTATTTACAGTTGCACGGAGGTAACTGTCTCGATCACATCCCAATAACCACCACATGCCAATACCTCCTCCATACCCACCAATCCTTATCTCCTACCTCCGATTTTAATGGCTCGTATGCCCGCTCGTTACGTTCGAATGTCCTTCCGATACTTGGACACTCCGACCGGCCAGCCAAGCAAATTGAAACGATAATTATATTCAGCATTTAACTTATGCGATGGTAATGATTTATTGCGATATACCGCGAGCGAGCACCGCTGTATGTATAAAAACACCATCGCGACGTACTCCTTTATCAGCGAGGACATTTAAATGTATGCGGCTGGCGTTGGAACGACCCTTTCCGGGAAGCCTCGGGGATTCGCGGTTTAAGGGCTCCTCAGCCACTAGACAAATCGGCAAATCGGTCGATCGGACATTGGCATCGCAATGTCGTGGAAAATCGTCACGGCCGCTCTCTCGTACCGTTCGAGACAATACGCTCCGCGAGCTCGACATAATTGACATACTGAAATGTAACGCGATCGACCGGCAAATCAACATTAGTGCGTCACTCATCGCGCATATAAGTGCGTAACGTACGTCACCAGTGGTGATAAAAGAGCGAGCAAATCGGCCCGCGAGTCGATCGCTTAGCCACCACTAATTGCGGCGGACAGCCATCGACATTATTTTGACGGGGGAAGGGCGCATTGTGCTGGGCACGCCCCAGTAATCGTCGCCGGCAGGAAGATTCGCGTCAGCCGAGTCGTTAAACCGATCTCTTTGTTCGTGTCGAGTATCACTTGGGGATCGCCGCGACATATTGAGCACCGCGTGGGGTACTTGATTCCGCGTCTGTCCTAAGCGACACTTGTCCCGTTATGGCGGCGAGCTCGGCTTTGTCACCCCGATTCTCTCGCTCGGCTGATCCAAATTTATTATTCGCACATTGAGGCGCGCTCGCGTCATAATTTGTTACCCCCCGCTAGCGCTCCGGGGGCTCGGTTACGCGTCAGCCCTTTACTTCCCTTTACTCGCCGCCCCTATTATTTTCCTGTTCCTTTCACTCGGTCATACACAGCCCTTGGCTTTTCATTGGGCAATTGTTCTATAAATCGTGATATTTTCCTCTCGTGCACACGATACCTTTATAAAGTGTTATTGGGACTTTAGCGTCAATGCCGATATATGGAGCCGTTGCTTTTTCTCTCAAATTATGTTTCTTCCAAGCATTACATGGACAATTTTTTTATTTTTCTTCTTTTTTTTTTTTTTGTAAACAGTTATAATGGCACCCGCTCGCGTGAAAATAAAATATTTTCGAGTAAAATAAAAAATAGAAAAATAATGAATAAACGAACGTAAATATTGTAATCAATACTAAACGTATGGTAAATAAAATGGCGTTGAGTAAACTAATTTGTCAGCCTGTGTAAATAACGTTAAAACTATAGATTTGGATGATGGTTGGGAGTGGCAAGATTTGAGATCGTCAAAGATATATGAACTTATCAATGTCGTCTCGATATCGATATTTAATTACAATGTAAATACTACGGATAAATAGGCTCTTTAACATAATAAGTAAATTTTACTTTTAAGCGCCTTAAAAGCGCATCCAAAATATTTTGTTATCATCTACGCCCTATATTGAAAGCTCATTGTCCATTATAATGGGCTTTTGAATGGATTTGAAAGGATTTTCAACGAGCTAATGAAACATGACTTTCTTCAATCTATCAGCCTCGTGGGTTTCGCTCTTAGAAAATAAACGTCGTCCCCCATTCCACTTTCAACCATCGCGCATCTACATATCTATATATCGCGAGATTGGCAGGGCACTTAGACGAAGGGAACATGGTATTTGGTAACTGAAAAATAAATTAAGCAATCCCGTGATGTAGTTGGCCGGGGTGTTGTATGTTGTCTTGGAGGGTGCATATTCTATGCCTCGTTACTCCCGAGAATTTCCTTCGTCTCTGGTATTGTAAATGTTTCAACCGCGACTTACCGCCGTATTACATCGGCCGGCCACTTGACTTGGCACTTTCAACCCCATTGCGGTGGTGTACTGGTTTCGTCCAATTCCCTTCGCCTCGTAGATGACGAGCCTCGTGAGCCGTTCTCTATCACATTCTAAATTCGTCACGCTCGATGCATGATCGATTCGTAATATTACGCCCACCGTGATGCCGAGAAGCCTCTCCCCCTCGTCCTCTCGCGCATCAATTAGCTCATCGTTCCCGCACGGTCCACTTTTTGCGCCCATTTGTTTCTGAAAACCCTGTAAAAATCGTTAACATCCGAGTCGTTGGCATGCCGAGCCCCCCGGCCCCACTACTCCCCTCGCGGAACTCGAGCGAGCGCATGGATTTTCAATTTGCCGCTCACGGTTTTTCTCAACGCGCCACGCGATCCTGCGCCCCTGTCCTTTTGATTGATGAGTTTTATCAGCCTTATAATTAAATGGCGATGCAGACGACTGTTGACATCAACACTCGAACGCCCGAGTGCATTTTACATTGGCAATTACGCAGCGTGCGATCAAATTTTTTTTTTTTTTTTTTTTTTTTTTTTTTTTTTTCCTAATGAATATTCACTTATTAGGTAATGATGAATTATTTTTTCCCCCTCTTTCTTTCTTTCTTTCTTTTTTTTCGTTTTTGTTTTTGTTTACATTTATCTGGTGCTAGATGTACAAGAAGAGAAGCGAATATTTTTAATACACATTATAGAAATTAATCAATAGTTCAGGAGATAGTACGCGAGAGAACAAAATGGTTATAAAAATTTTTTATCTAGAAACATTATAATTGTAATATTCAAAAAAAAAAAAAAAAAAAAAAAAAAAAAAAAAAAAAAAAAAAATAAATAAATAAATAAAGAGAATTTAGTGTATTAATCGCTAAAGCAATTTGCTTTACCAATTAATATTTGATTGTATTAATATGCTATCGCACACCTCTTATTTTCTTTCGTCCCAATTGTACAGAACATTAAGCCGAAGAGTTTATGTAATTGAACACAGCGCGACGACGGCTTCTTATTCAAGAAATAATTAACGTATGAATAATACATCATAAAATATCCGATATTATTATTTAATTTCATACGACTAATTTAATTTCGTCCAAGATTTTCTAGCTTTTGTGCTATTTTTCCATCGTCTCAATCGACTTATATTCAATTATAATGCTATAAAGTAAGCTGTTAACCTAAATTTTACACGAACATCTAGGTAATGCAACGCGGAGGTATGCATCCTTCGTGCTCAACTAAATATACGCGTAGCCAAATTAATAGACGCTATAAGAGACGTGCAACAATATATTTACTTTGCGTTTACAAGCGCGTGTGGCATACTTTCATTAGAGGCACGGAAACGCCAATGCATTTCATAAACGTATGTAATTCGATAATATACGAGATAGACTATATATTTTTGTTTTTGTAAAAAGCACTAAATTTTCCACTACAAAGGATATTCGCCGGTACATTTCACCTTGCAGCAAAGCGACGCTTTAGAGCGTCCGTTAAACTACATAAATAATATATTTTTAAAACTATTTTCATGCCATAAGTATTAAATCTCTCGAGTTTATCACTTCTGAATGCCACATATGTTGCAATTTCAGGCGCGGGGAGATGCCGCTTCGCTGATTCGAAGTTACCTAGGGCCGATTTACGGCGAAAATGTACTCGATATCTTGACACGTCAGGCACGCGACATTCTCGTTTGCGCTTATCATGGCAACTTGGAGAATTTCGTCAAGTCCTATCTATCACCTGCCGTCAAACTGCTTAGCGAAGTCAAACGCGCTGCTTCAAAAAAGGTAAGAGTTATAAGCTATCTTTGCGCGCATAGCGCTGCGATGTGCACCACACACGCACACACACACGCACACGCACACACACACATACAACTAATAAATATACTGAGCGAGCACATAAAATTTAATAGTAATATTTTATGTTTGATATTTGTAAATTTAGTATTTCCATGTGGCTGACTTTGCCATTATCCGTACTCTAAGACTTCTTAGACCAATATTTTTCATTTCGCCTAGAAAGTCATCGCGATTATTAACTTTCATTTTCAGCCCTAGGGGAGAATACTCAATTACCGGCACATTAAATAGCCACAACTGTCGTGTTTTAAATTAGCTCGCGACCAATGCCCTGGTTACATCTAAATTTCTTCAACTAAATATCGTCGATTTCCTTGCCCTAATGCCCTAATGGCAAGAAACTTTTTTTTTTTTTTTTTTTTTTTTTTTTTTTTTTTTTTTTAAGGAAACGTTTGTATTCCATCTTCCGTGAAAACAGCGTCAAACCGAATTCGCCAACGATCGTGTTAGCCATTCCATGTTTTATTCTGTCCACGGATTTCGCTACGTTCGGTTAAAAAAGTAAATAATAACAACAACAACAACAAACAAAAAAAAGAAAAAAAAATGGAAGCAAAATATTCGCTTCTGCAGGCTAAGGGAGCTTCGATCGATTAAACAATTGTCATGGGAATAAAATTTTACGCCCTAATGAATCCTGTTAATGTAATTATTATAAATTTAAATGAGCCGTCAAAATAATAACGATACATTTCGTTGCTTAAATAAGTCTTAATTGTGCCCTTTTCCATCGACAAATGCGCGATAATTCCACACTTTAAAATCTACGTAATGCGAAACAAGTAAGGCTCGAAACGCAATAAGCACGCACAAAATACCTCGCTCGGATCTGCATATTCTCCGATAAATATAAATGCACACACGCACGCACACAAACATAAATAGACCTCGGTCGAAATAATATTTATCACTGGCATAACTGATTTTCTTCACGCACACTATCTTTAACCGCGCAGCACTGTTAATTCATAAGGAGTTATCACATCGGAAATGTACACAGTCCACATTCCCAACATCCAGGCTCCAATCAATCTCCCGTCTCTCGATTATCAAACAACACGCCCCATCCTCTAGAAAGGCGATCCTTAAGAAATCCTTAAGGGAGGCCAAGCGGGGGAGTGAGAAATTCAAGATTCCTCGTCTATCGATACGGAGGGAGGAAAGCTCGTGGTCAATTAGTAACTGAGCTTAATTAATGCGTATTATCAGGACGATACGGCCGCTCAATTGTTAAATCAGCATCGCGAAAGGACTACGGCTCAACGATCCTGTCGCATTGAAATTTCATTCGCGTCTATCGCTCCGAAAAATGGCGCGCTCGTGACGCAATAGAACGCAGCGGCTCCGGCGTGTACGTCGAATCGACGGACAGACGATTAATAAAATGCCCCAGAGTCACGACCGCTAAGATCTCGGCGCCCGATAAAATCCACCGTCCAACCTATGCATATATAATACACGCGCAGACATTATGAGAGAGTAATGATGGAAAAGAAAAGGTGCAAATCGAGCGAGGAAAGCCATTGTGCCTGAAAATTTTCTATTAAGGAGGAAACATTGGTCGGCGAAACTCGTCGACTTAGTTAGCACTAGGCACTACGTACCTTTTACCGTTTGCTAATTAGAGCTTGGAAAAGTGAACCGAGTGCGAAATATCGACACTCGCGTGCTCTGCACTTCTTAGGTGATTGAGAACACCTGTTAAAGTGTAATAAAGGCGGGGCTAATAATGGCGTGCTAAACGCCTAAGTACGATCTGTCGACTTTTACGCTTTTTGGAATTATAATACAGTTTTATAAGCATTAGCATTTCATGGTGATAAAAAAGTGTGTGTTGTCAGCTTCGAATGTAATGTTTGTTTTAGATACTAAAGTACAGTTATTCGCATTATTGATTTTATTAACAAAATCACCGCGCTTTGGCTAATTAATTGCGAGCTTCGAAAAAATATTGTTGAATCTCTCATAATGTTATTAAGACTCGTTTTGTCTTTTATATTTGTATTGATTTAATTTCAGTGAGTAACTTGACTAATATTTCAAAGTAACTTTAAATAGACTTGATTTAATTGTGTTTTAATAACTATGCACTGTATAGCTCAATAGCATCAATACATAAATATATACATATATATATATATATATATATATATTTTTTTTTTTTTTTTTTAATAGACAGAACTCGTAAAAGGCAATGAATCAAAGTTCATTGTCGCTTTACATCAATCTTTTAAAGCATTTGTTAGCGGATCTGATTTGTACGGGTCATCCTACATTGATATAATTTGCTTCATTATAGTTGATGGAATGTTAATCATACGCATAAACTTTGATGATTTCCCTTTAAACTCATGCTCAAACGTTCTGAGACTTTCTTAATTGTTATGTACGTGCTTCTATAAAAATTCATCGGTAAATTTTTTCAAAACTTCCAATTTCGTTAATTATGTTTTTTTTTTTTTTTTTTTTTAAATCAAGTTGTAACTTTATTAATATAGTATAACTTGTATACAACTGTCTATATATATATATATATATACAAAATATAAAATTACATATTGTATAAACAGACACAATATGTCAAATTAATCAATCAAATGTAAATTTTCAAAATAACTACAGGATATACAAAATATTCTTAATTTCATATATTCATAATCTTGATATAACATAATATCAGTAATACTATCAACATTATTATAAAGTTGACTTGGTAACATCTTTGTTTAAACAAAATAATATTATTTATTATCTCATAAACAGTACGTATTGAGAAATAACGGCCAGAGTCATACGTACTCTTATCTTTTTACCCTTTCCAAACAATTTACGATCCTGTCTTAAATAGACAAAAAAATAACATATTAGGATTCCTAATGGACATAAAGCACTATCGACTGACAAAAATTAACAAAACGAATATTCTTCTTTCGTCTTTACAAACTCAAACTTTACGGCTATGTTATTTTCAAAAAGAATTGCGAAAATAAGGAAGCGAGAGAATGAAATATGGCAGGGTGTGTCGCAGGTGAAATGGCGATTTATTACCATTTAAAAATGTATAATTATGATAAAGCCTTTCTTCCTTTTTTCACTCACGCCCGTTTGATCGTTTACTCTCTCCGTCTCTCTCTCGCTCTCTCTCTCTCTCTCTCTCTCCCCCCCCCACCCCATCTTTTTTCCTTTGTGTATTGTTTCTTACTGTTATTTGTATTCAATATATAAAACATAATTTCCTTACTGTATATATTTATATACTGTATATATATATATATATATATATATATATATATATATATATGGATATGCTCCTACTCCTATATAATCATTATTTCCTATTGGAGGTTCGATATCGTTAAACTTCTCTCATGTTAATTATTGATATATTTGTTCTACACATTCTCTAGTTTCTAGTATATTCAGTTTCCTATACAATAATTCAGGTGTTTTTTTTTCTAATTGGAGATTAATATTTGCTAAATAAATAGCGCTCGTTTGAAATTGAAGATGAAATATTACGTTAGAGTACATTTATAAAGAATATTTGAAAAAATGTAATAAAAATGTAATAAAAAAAAAATATACCATAAAATAATTTTGGTGTCTAGTCAAGGATACTTCATAAATCATTTAAACATGTTTTATGCAAAATTAACAAGTAAACATTAAATTAAAATATATAATCTTCCAGTTATTATAAATTATCTAATGATATATTGACTTGTACTTTTTGAAATTATGTTTGCAATAAAATTAATGCTATTGAAAACTATTTTTTTAATTGCGAAAATTAAACATTTCAATGAATATTTATGATATTTATGGTTTATAAGGAAAAAATCGAATAAACTTAAATTTTTCTATTTTACTGCTTAAAAATAGCGTTGTTTAGAAAATTTGTGCAGTACTTTTAATGTTTCTTGTAAATATTACGAAAAATGAAAAAAAAAAAACAAGATAAAAAATTCAAATGTTAGTTTATCAATCGGATAACAAGATACCGTTAAGTAGAATAATTTTCATATAAAATTGTATAATGTAAAATAAAGTATTTATCTTTATTATCGAATTGAAAACATAATTTTATGAAAGTATATAACTGAAAAAAATTACCACTTTGATTGAAAATTATAGTAAGGCATGTTTCAATGAAAATAGAGTATAGCTAATCTTTATTTCTGGGTCAAGATCTTTTATATTATTTTTCTGTATAGAACATAAGTAAAATTTGTACCTTAGAACTATGCATTACGTAAATGATAGACTCTACTGATAGCTCATTAAAATAAATATGTTATGTTGAAAAATTCTGGACATTCTTATATTAAATGAAAATATATAGATCTCAGGGAAAAACATGTATTTAGGATTGTGAGGCATCGGATACATATATGGACAATAGTTAGGACAATTCCAGAAATATAACAAACAAATCAATGAAGAGGCTTAATTACGGCTGTTTTAAGGAAAAGTGAAAAGCAAATAAAAAAAAAAAAAATTAATCGATACCTTAGAAATACGAATGTACTCCTGACAAGACCTTCAAAGCCTTGAAAATGTACAAAAATTCACACAAGAATGAAACTTGGAGACTCATAGCGTAAATCTTGCAAATATATCTCTATCCGTGAAAACTACATATTTTAAGGCAATAATTAATACTCATATATGTTACAATATAATAATTGAATATTTCGAAGAATTTTAATGGCAAATTCAAAATATTATAAGCAACTCGGTTGCTACACAATAGAAATACATTGGTAAAACTATCTAAAACACGAGATAATTTTTGTAATTAATAGTTCATTAACAATCGCAACAACGCATGGATACGGATATCAGATCCATATTGCTTTCAATATTACAATTTCCGATTTTATAAAAATAAGACGTATCATAACAGAGCCCCTTTTAACATTTTC